TTGGGTCTCCCTTCATTTAGCATTCTCTTCTCCCATATTTCTCTCAGGCAGTCTCCAATCTCCCAGATCTTCCCTTAGGCTTTTTCTCCTTCACTGGCAACTTATTTTTTATTTTTTTTTTACAAAACAACCTTGTTCTGTATGCTGCAGTACTTTAGCCACAGATTATCATTAAACCCAGACTAGAATTTCCTCAGGGCAATATTTCTGCCTGTACATGGTACTTCATGGTGCCATCCTGCATTACCAGTTCTTCTGCCTAACAAATTGAATTATTAATAACAGCATTGCTAATACCACTTATTTCACTCTATTTCTGTGTCTCCACGTGGCTTTTTCACTTTATTCACTGTTAAAACAACCCATCTCCTTTTGCAAGATTTTCTATTTTCCATTCTCATTCATCATGATTTAGCACTAGTTATTTTGAACATGTATATTCTCAAGTAAACTATCTATCCAACAGGAGTTGGCACTCCCTTTTAATTTTCATTTCAGGGCAGGATCACTGTCAGCCATACTCTGAGTCAGCTCTGAAAAACTGAAAATAACAACTACGACAAGGAAAGCTGTCATGATCAGCAGGAATACTATTAATGATCCAATTATTAAAAAAACAGGAAGAATTTAATAGGCAGAAGGGATGTGGTAAATAGGGAGACTGTAATTTAGAAAAAAAAAAAGAGAAAGTTTATATCTACTGTAAGGAGCTAAACTAATTAAAACACCAAAAATGCCTGAAAAGGAGCAAATCAGTTTGGACAGTTTGGCTAACAGTACAGTCTTATTCCATAAACACTGTAGATGTTAAGAAATAAATTGGTATTTTGAAGTATGGCAGCACAGAATTAGAATTGAAAAACAGAGGAATAACATCAATATTATGCAATTACTGTGTGTCTGTGGTGGGGAAAGCAGAGTCTGGAGAGAGTTGGGGGAGCCAAACAGCACAAATGTAAAAAGTTTTCAGACATAATTTAATTTCTCTGGAAAACTGGAAGTTGAAAGACACATGTTCTGGACAGTTGTGAACACAGAGAAGGAGAAAAGTAATAGTTCTTTGTGTCTGTGAGCAGAAAACAGGAAAGAAGGTAAATATTTTAAGAATTTATCATTGATAGGAATAGAGTTCTCTCCAAGCTTCAGGAGACAATACTTTTCCAAATAATTTCTGTACTGTTCCAAGGGGAAATAAAGGGTTTTCCTTTCCCCTGCATCCACACTGGGACTGTTTCCATTCTTTCAAGACCATGGACAGCACAAGTTTTCCTCTTAAAGAGAATTAATTCAAAGTCTGCTGATCAATGATGTGAGGGTTGCTGTTCACAACCTGTGAGGAAAAGACTGTGCAGAAATGTTATTTACTACTGAATTCTTCCTTCCTTGCTGTGGCTATGTCAGAATACGCTGTCCAGAACTACATAAACTGATTTATTGGTTTTTTTGGACACAAATCTCTTAGACAATATTTAGAAGTTATGTTAAACTCCAGTCAAGAATGTAATATGAGATTTAAAACCAAATCAACTTCTCTTAGGAAGGAGAAGAAAAGTCCTCAAGTATTGGCAACAGCAGCAAAATAATTATTTATTTTTTATCAGAAAAGAGAAATAAGAAGTGAAAAGATGTCATAGCAACTAAAATGTTTGTGTTTGTGTGTGGATATTTAGATAGATAGATTAAAGTTATATCTAAAATACATTAAAGAACCAGCTTGGATTTGAGTGTTCAAATTCCATGAAGATAGTTTCCATCAGGAAGCTTTGTAGACATCCACCAGCCAAAGAACAAACATTGGTTTTGCACATTTCATTAGCATGTATGGCCTAGACATGAGCAAATTCAGTAATAAAATACCCTGAGGCAGATTAAAATGGAAAAGCCTGAATTTAGAATCCAGGAAAGGGGAAGAAATGGATGTAATGTTAAAAGCTGGAGGTTTTTTTTTACATATAGTTGCCTAGGGATGCACAAAAAAAATCTGACAGAGTTATTTAATGTTTCACATCAAAATAAAAATAACTAAATAAAATTATGAGGCCAGCCTTGCACAGCCACTGTTTGAAAAAAGTGCAGTGGGGTAAGAGCTGCTCCCTTAAAGCCTTTATAAAGAAACTGTACAGACAGATCCTTACATGGAGGTGAGGAGGGGAGAGGAATACGAGGCAAAGTCTTGACAGGGTTTTGTAAAACCAGATATATATAAGGCAAAACTTAGCAAAGAGCAGAGTTACCCCAAAATGACTGCAACAAGCAAACAAGATGTTCTGTTCTGAAGGAGATAGCAGGGAGAGCCTGAAGAAATCGCCGTTCATATCATGTTCTGGCAGAGACAGAAACATTCTGCTTTTATTCATTCTTTTAAACCCTTTAGGGGTCTCTCTTTTTATCTCTCTTAGAGGATACTCTCCCCAGGCTTTGCAATGTATCTTTATGTATTCTGATTCTTCTTTATGAATTAACTATGGGTTAGCCTATATTTTATTTTCTGCCAACAATGCTTGTGTATTTGAGAAAATATGGTTCTAATCCATAATAGTCAGGGCAGTCTCAAAATGATAAAGAATGAGTGAACTAAGGCTAAAGGCAAAAGAACTTGCAAAAATTACAATTTTTGGTCTAGGTCTGGAGCTTATGAAAATCAGGGGAGCTTCATTTATTACCACATTGGGATGTCTAAATCTGGGACACATCCCCCACATCTCCCACATCTCCCATTCTGTGGGAAAGGTTCTGAGCTTAGGTCAATGCTGGCTTTCATAGCAGTTAATCAGGTGTCACTTCATCCCTAATTTTAATTTATATTGCTTTGAAATGGAAAGAAAGAGTATGGCAACAGAATCAGTAAAGGCTTCAGGCAGAGCAGAGGGTGTTTCCTGTTGCCTACCTTTATACCTGCTTACACAAATTTTCTGTCAGGCAAATTTGTTCTTCATGGTTATATCTTTCATATATTTATCTCATGAATTTGATCCACTGGCCAGTTGCCTTAATATCAAGTCTAGAAAGATAAATACAATTTATCTTCTGTCTGTCGAGATGTTTCAGAAAAATAAATTAAATGACATATTTTTAAATAGGCACATTCAAACCCCTTCCTGCAGAAGCTATAAAATGTCCCAGTAAATATCAATACTTGTGTTGTCACCATGTTCTCAGCAGCTGAAAATCAGACCTCTGGAAACACCTTTGTTGGAAACATTCCAAAAGGAAGCATTTACCAGGGAAATGCTTTTTCTTAATGGGAAAAAACCCTCAGAATGATTGGTGCATTCCTCTGCTGATGAAATAGATTCTTCCTTTGGTGACACAATAAAATTCAAGGTTGGCTGATAAAGTTATTGCAATAAATATGAACACAGGGAGCAAAGAGGAGAGACAGGGAGGGTGGAGTAAGAATAGAAAAAATTCAGTTTCATGAATACCAATATATTCGTATATCCATATATATCTACCAAATAGAAATAATAAATGGAATGAGTTTTGCATTTTGTTGAGTCTACTGGGGAAAAGACTTAACTGCATTAAGCATTAAAATAAGAAAGAAAGGATGGGATTTTTAATGTGCCAAGTCTGAGCGAGCTACAGAACACATAATACCACCTGCTAGGAAGGTTTTTGTATCTAAGGTGCTAAACTAATGTGAAACAGCCTTCAAACATCCTTCAGTGGGGGAAACTGGAGAGGGAATGACCTAAGCCTCCACTTAATGTAAATGCTGTAACTCCAAACATCCCCTCAGAATCACAGAAGCAATCAGGCTGGAAAAGACCTCTGAGATTATGGACTACAACCCATGACCCAACACCAGCATGGCACTGAATGCCACATCCAGTCTTTCCTTAAACCTCTCCACACATGGTGGCTCCACCACCTGCCTGGACAGGCCATCCCAATGTAAGAAATTCCTTCTGATGTCCAACTTAAACCTCCCCTGCTGCAGCTTAAGGCTCTGTCCTGTCATCCTATCACTGATTGCCAGGGAGCAGAGCCCAGCTCACAGCCACAGATTTTGTATCTGCACAGGACCTTTCAGCTGTAAATCACAGGGCTGATTTTACTCAGGTCACATCCTCTGTCCCTGAGCTGTGATGTCCCTACATACTGTGAATGTTGTTATCTCCAGGCTGATACATTCACAGTCACCTGCAAGTGTCTCTCTGTGTGAGCTACTTCTTGCTGACTAAAAACTATCAGCAAAAATAAAAACTTCTACTAATCCCATCTCTGTGGGACCACAGAAAACCCCTGACATTTGTCTCTAAGCTCAATTGTACACATGTCCAGAGCAATTCAGAGCAATTTAGATGCACCTAAGTAAGACCTTGTGTGGATCTGCTCTGTCCTGTCAGGACAGTCATGGTCTGCCACAGACCTCTTCAGATGTCAGCTAAACTTCAGTCTTTGAGCTCAAGGCAGAGCTGGACATCTCATCCACATTCCACAGTATCACTAAAACATTATTTTATCTCTTGCCTTTTTAAAGGAAACTTGGCCTTAGTAATAAAGATAAAAGGCAAGTCAGTGTCTCTGCTGATTGTCGATATTTATTAGATATTGCAGAAACACACACTAAATTTTATCCTCCATAAGCCCAGGCTCAACTTAATCAAAGTTTAGCATGATCTCAAGGCTCCCTTCTGATTCTGTCAGTGAAATCTTTTTTATCTGATGTTTTCAGTCGTTTGCTCTATTGCACAATTGAGCTGGGCAGGATGAGGGTTGGGGCAAATGCCTGGGGAGATTTCTAAGCCAAAGCAAGAGATATAATCCCCTCAGGGCCAGGCAGGGCTCTGTCACTGGGGATGGGTCAGAGGAGCTCAGGTGTGTTGGCACTGGGGGTTTTTCTGCTTTGCCTGGGAGCTCCTGTGTTGTTCAGTGTTGTGTGCCCAGAGCCCACGGAGCAGGGGGTGGGGATGGATTCTGGGGCTCGTCAACCCTGTGATGTGGTTCTGGTGGCTGTGACATCGCGGAGAACAGGTCACAGTGGGAGCTGACAGCGGGCAGTTCCATCCTGCTGCCCCTGTCCCATGTTTCCTCTCCCTGCTGGCCCCTCTCCCCCACCTCTCCGAGGCCATGGCTGCGGCAGTCGCGTTCCTGGCGGCTGTGGTGGCCGCCCTGCCCAGGCTGACGCGCGATCCGCAGGCCGACCTGGCCACGGCACAGCGGATGCAGCAGCGCAATGAGTTCCTTCACCAGGAGATGACGCGGCTGTGGCAGGAGGTCGAGCAGATCAGATCCCTGGAAGGAGCCCTTGTCCATTATGTGTTAAAGAACTGGCTGTTTTGGGCCACTGCAGCAGCCATGCTCACAGAGGTCTGCTGGCTGGCCTGGCAAAGGAAGCTTGCCTCCAGCAGCGAGGACGATAAGGGGGAACAAGACCTCAACAGACCAAGCAATGGTGCCAGGCATTCGGCTCAATCCACCCAATTACCAGTGCAGGAACTGCCTGATCCATGCAGGAATCTGAAGCAGCTGGTGCGTGACCTCCTGTATATCACCAGAGAGTTTTCCAGGAGGACTTTCATGCCAGAGATTTACCCAGACAGAGGAATGGGTAGCAGCCATGAGCACTGGAGTATCTTTGAGAATAGAATCTTCTACCAGCTGCTCGTGTTCCTGCGGCCACCCCCTGGTCACTCCTTCATCCTGGAGCAGGACACCGTGGGGCAGCACCCAGAGAGGTGCTCTGACATCCGTGTGGTGCTGGAGTGCACGTGCTCCATGGAGGACGTGATGGGATATTCCTTGTGCTTTGTCCATCGCCGGGGCAGAGAGCTCCTGCCAGATTACAGATCACTGCTCCTAGAAAGCCTCTGCACAGGCTTCTACTTAAATGTGGAGCAAATCTCCAGCTGGGTTCAAAACTTGCTGGTTGCAGCCTGGCTGCGTTTGCCTCCGTGGCCGCGCCGGCGTCTGACGCTGCTGCCCTGCACCCGCTCCTGCAAGTTCCTGGTGAGCAGCTCCTCCAGGGAGCAGAGCTGCACTGAGATGTTCTTTGCAGTGTATGAAGGCACCACGGGCAGCTTTGTAGTCCTAGAGTAGGCAGCAGCTTCCCCATGGAGCAGATCATCTCCAGTGCCATCACACAGCTCGAACAGGACAAGCCTCTTTTGCAGCATGGGCTTGGGAAGGACAGGTCCTGCTGGCCACCCTGATCTTCTGTGACAGGGTGCCTCACATGGGGAAGTGAGGGAAAGGCTGTGGATCTGGTCTGCCTAAACTTGAATAAAGGAGCAAAATTGAAGAACTTTTTTCCCTTTTGACAAAGGCAAGAATTTTAGCATTTTTATGGAACGTTTAAAATTCAGTGACTTCTGCTGCACAAAACCAGTTCATAATTGTCAAATAAACCACTCATTAACAATCAGTTAACTGCTGGTTGAGATTTTCATTCAGTTCAGCATAAAAACTAAATTCTGCTTCGTAGTGTCATGATATTGCCAGCTTCTGTTTTATTGACTTCCTAACTTCATGAGAACTTTCAGGTGATATTGCCCATACACAGGGAATAAGGGAATACCCCAAATAAAGCACACAGTCAATGAATACTTGTTTCGCACATTAGTCTGTACTTGAGCAGAATAATCCATGCCTGATGGACTGGAAGCTGAGAGATCACTGCATTTCCTCCCCTGTGCTGATGGGCAAAGGGGCTTTTGCCACAAGCATCATAATACAGCTTGGGCTGTTTCATAATGCAGCTGAGCTGCAGCTTGACTGCCCCAGTTGAAGTTTTGTCTATGAAACATCTATTTTTTCTCTAAGTGAATTAATGTATATTTTCATGTATGTATATATATATAATGTATATTTTCAGTGTATAATTTAATCCATTCTAAAGAATAATAAAGCTCAGCCCTTGCAGAGAGAGTTAAGGGGTTACACTGCTGGTAGCACTGGCACATCTACATATTCATGGCGAGAACATTCATGTGGTGTCCTTACATTACATGGAGAGCAAGCTGCCTCTCTGAAGGGATATAAACTGAAGAAATTCTGCAATAAAAGTCACAGTGCAGGTTTTGGAATACTGGGCAGGATATCTCCTGAAACAAATCACAGCAGACAGATTTTCAATACCTACTGCTCTGGTCAGGCCCAAAATAGCATCGTTGTGAAGTTTAAGTTCATCATTTGTCAAGCACAGTATTCCTATAGTGGCTAGTGCAAAGCAGTTCAGATTGTGAATTCAGCACCAATGTGAGCCACAGGTTTGGGGCAGAACAGGAAACTACCATACAGCAGAACTGATGTGACTGAACAGTGCCCAACGAAATTCTGCAGCCACCCTACAAAGAGCACTTCAGGTGAGACTGTGGCTTCATTTCAGCATAGGATTGCAAGCTGAGACACACACCCTGACTAGAAGAAAACAGGGCAGGTTTAGATTAGGTATCAGGGAAAAGTTCTTCACCCAGAGGGTGTTTGGGCACAGGAACAGGCACCCCAGTGGTCACAGTACCAGCCTGATAGAGTTCAAGAAGCATTTGGACAAGGTTCTCACACCTGATGGGATTCTTGGGGCTATCCTGTGCAGTGGCAGGAGTTATTCTGTGACTGTATGGTTCTAAACTACTAGCAACCACTAATAGGAAGAAATCATCAATTAATTTCTGTATACAGCTGGAGTTAGGTGATCTCTAAGGTCCCTTCCAACCCAAACCCTTCTATGCTTCTAAGAAACCTCTTTTTCAAGCCTGTGTTTCCCTCAGTTTGCTTCAACCATCCCTTGATTTTAGATAATTCAAGCCTATGATTCTTTTTTCCAGACATGGTGGCATGCTTGGTTTGTTAGAGATCTGTATCAGTCTTACTATGAATATCTGAGAACACCGTGCTTGGTTTGTTAGAGATCTGTATCAGTCTTACTATGAATATCTGAGAACACCGGCCACATGAATGTTAGAATGTGTGTATATATATAAATAAAAAGGTGAGGAAAATTAAAAAGAAAAAAAAGTTGTCAATCTAAGAAAAAAAAAACATTCAGGGATACTCATTAAGATTTTAATTTTTTTAATTTTCTAAAAAAAAGCTTTACAGAGAAGAGAATCATGGAATCACAGAATGGCCTGGGTTGGAAGAGAACTTTAAGATTATCTCATTTCTTCTCTACTAGTTCATGTTGCTCCAAGCCCAATCCAACCTGCAACTCAACCCTTGTGGTTGTGAGGTCCAAATTCCCATTTTACAGCCCACAGGGGAGCAACAACAACTTCTGCTGTGAGAGAAAATGCAGATCCATACAAAGAAATATATAGAAAATATGCCAAATATTTGATTTGACAAATAATCAAATTTGATACATAGAAAAGTACAAAGAAAATGAGATTCCAGGCTGTCCTGTGGATCCAGCCAGGATCAGGTTCTCCACTTCTTCAATGCTTCAGGGCATTCAGCTACTAGGACAGCAATATTGCCCAGGGGCTTTCCTGCCCTCTTCATTAGGTGTGAAGAAGCAGGTCTGACAGAAGCTCTCAGGCTGTGGAATCTGTCAGTAAGTCACTAATTGAGCTGTGACAAGCAAAACATCTGTAAACATCTGCCAAAAGGTAAATATGATTCAGCTATGGTGCCAGTGAAGGAATAGATGACCTGCCAAGCTGTATTCTGTTCCCTTATAAATGAAAAATCAATGTGAACCATATTGAGGGGCATGTAATGAAGGGTTAGCTTTACACTTGTCTTAGTTATAAACATGAGAATTTTTCTTATGTGAAGTAGCTCTCTTAGTCAATAGAGTTTTCTTTAAATAAGAAAAGAAACAGAAAAATAATCCATTTTTTTTTTAATTATAGAGCAGAAGAACTGAGCATTGTTTTGGAAACACTGAACATAAAGACAATTGTGAAACATAGTGGGACTCCTTTGACAAAATTAATGAGAAAGAAAAAGACATTTCAGTATTCCAGGGATTTCTTCAAACCCAAAACTCAGACACAAAATGCACATAACATTTCTTTGTAGTGTTGCACTACATTTTTTTGACTGTTGCACGTTTTGCTGTGCACTTCTTTTATGAAGAAGGGAAGATGTTAATAGGATTTCAAATATTTATGCATGAATTCCTTCATACATGTTCTTTTACCAGCCACCTACATACCATTTAGTAAAAAACTATCATTTTCCATGTCTGGAGAAAAAAGTTTAACATCACTTGCCTCTTAAAGAAGCCTGAAGAAATTGTTTACACATAATTTCTTCATGGGAAGCAAAAGCAGCAGTCTAATGCCAATGGACAGATTGTCACATCCCAAGGACAGCCCCTTCTGTCCACAACATCTCACAGCAGTGAGTCTTGGAAATTCAGAGCTGACCTACACAGTGTATTAGAAATTGATTTCAGTTGAGATAAGACTATAAAGGGGAGCATAAATCATGCTCTTGAAACTGATATAAACATTTCATTAGTTATATGTTCTCTCCCAGCATCCCTGGGATAGGAGGATGGTGCCATCTGAAAATCCAAGTTCTGGCTGAGAGTATTTAAACAATGATTAACTATGTTCATGTGGATGTTATCTGGGGACATTAAAACTCTTAGTCAGACTTCCTGTGGTTTGCATGCCAGTAGTTTTCTGAAATGCAGAATTAGGGGTGTGGGTGGCACTCACCCACACAATGGGAAGTCCATTTACATCAGGCAATTACTTTTTGAACAAAATCACACCTCTCATTTCAATGAGACCATGTAGGTGAGTATAATTGCTCTTTTTCTATTGTCACAGCTGAATTATGTTCGAATTGCCCTCTGAGGAATGCAAGAAGATAACTCCTTACATTTTAATTTTTTAAAAAATATTATATCTTTATTAGATAAACTGAGTCATATGAAAAAGAGAGTGATAAACATTCTATCAGCTATTGAGCCAAAAAGCCCAGGAATTTCCCCTTCATTCATTGGCCCTGTTAATTATGCAGACCTTAATTAAACAGGCCTTTGGAGATCAGCTGGAACATAGTAAGCAGACAAATATAAGGATAAACCCACCACAGAGAAAGAATCAGGTGCTAACTGCTCTTTGTGGCACCTACCAAACAATAATAAACTGTGGAGGAAAGTTTTCTTGACAAAAGGAATATAAAAAGTGTCAGTATAGATAAGCTGCCCAGAAATATGTATTCTGGGTTAAAAAAAAATCAAAGTAATTGAGCCAGAAGTCATCCACTCTTAATTCTATCTCAGTCTTTGGGACTGTTTCTCACTAATTAAAACCATCTGGAATCCTGGAGTCAGAGGATAAGAAGTATGGAGCACAGGGATTCTGGCCAGGTGAATTTGGGCATTGGAAGCAGCACTGACTGGCCAATCCATGGGCCAGCAGTCTGGGAATTTGGCCTGACCTGTTCGTCATGCTTTTATTTTTTATTTCTTTTCCCAGCTACAACAGCCAAACCTCAAGAAACGAATGAACTGCAATTATCTTCAAGTTTTTATATTTTATATTGATGAGAAAAAAACTACAAGGTCATGGTGAATAGCATAGAAAGAAGTGTTTGGGCATGGAAAATTAAAATATAACAAAACTGCATAGGCCCTGGTAAGGCAGGTGCCTGTGTTAGCATTCATGGATAGTTTCATAGAGTGAGGAACAATGCAAACCATTTTAATTACTGCTGGTGCATTCTGGTGGAACATTAGTTTTACATCATGAAACCCACCATCACTTTCAAAGCTTTGAGGTTACTAAAACATTACTTTTCCATTCAATTGTGATTGAATGGAATTGCTAAGTATGATGTGAATTTCCTCTCCTAATGCAATTTCATGCACCTTTAGGGCAGCATCTCTGTGAAAATTGACCTATAATTTGTGTGAAATATTATTGTAATATCCATGTTGGAAATGGAGCATAAAATTATACTAATCTGTACACACAGGCCACATTTGCTTATTTACAGGGCCTTGTTTCAAGACTATTGTTTTATCTACTAGTTTTTTTTTTCCAAAAGGAATCTTTTTGAACCATTTAGTAAATATATGAAGTCCTAATTTTGATCTGAAGAAATTCAGATCACTATGACTCCATTGCTTTTCTTATATCAAAGCAAGTGTCTTAAAAATCAAACCGAGATTATTAATTTTAACACACAACTGTATTCTTCAGTTTTTCCCTGTGACATCTGCAAACACCAGAGTTTAAATGTGTTACAGTTTGCCCCTTTTTTCTTTCATTTAGGGCACTGAAATGCTTCAGTATTGACTAGTGGAGTTTTAGCACATACCCTGTGGGCTTTTATTTGTGGGACATTATTTTAATAAGAAGAGAAAGTTAGAATCATAGAATACTACAATGGTTTGGGTTGGAAGGGAACCTTAAGGATCATCTGGTTCCAACCCCCTGCCATGGGCAGGGACATCTTCCA